CAGCCCTGGCTCCCCTAATGCCCGATTCAGACGTTCTTGTAAAGTTCTCAAGAGTGTCCTGCCACAGCCAGGGGCTTCCCAGTGACGATGGCTTTTCTCCCTCCCTGTTCCTCAATGTGAACTTGATTGGGAGGAGGAGAGGGATGGCAAGGGACTTCCCCTGAATCGGTTCGTTTCCCCGGCCGGCATTTGGGGGAGGTGGTGGGGTACAAGGAAGCCAGCCTCAGCTTAGAGCTTGGCGGAAAGTGGGGCCAGGTGACCAACATCAAGACCAAGGAAGGAACAAGTTTGAGGAACATCTTGGTATTTTGAACGCATACCAAGCTGGGAGGAAAGTAAGGTTGTTTTGCGCATTTTTTAATGTTATGTGTTTTAATTTTTTTAAAAAACAATTTCAAGTCAGGGTTTCTCTGTGTAGTCCTGGCTATCCAGGAACTCCTGTGTAGACCCAGCTGGCCTTGAATTCAGAGATCTGCCTGCCTCTGCCTCCTGGAGTGCTGGGATTAAAGGCCAACATCGCCTGGATGTGTTGTTTTGCCTTTTACATAGAGGGAGCCATATGAGGAAGAAAATCTTAGAAGTATGTTAAGTTTGGGGATTCGGGCAACAAGCAATGGGTTTCATCGCGGGGTCTGGTAAGCGAAGAGGTTGGGGCATGGGCTCCCTCTGGCACCCCAGCCCAGCAACAGCATGCCCGCCCCCTTTATTACAAATCAGAGTTTTATTCTGAGTCAGCGTGCTCATGAAGGCCTGCAATCCCAGCTACTGGGGGGGGGGGTGCAAGAGGAACGCAAATTCAGGGCTATCGTGGGAAACGTAGAGAAACTCTGTCTCAAAGTTTTGGGGTTTTTTTTTATTGTTGTTTAAAAGGAAAAGGAGGGCTAGAGATGCAGTTTGGTGGTACAGCATTCCTGCCAAATGTAATCATCTGTGTAAAAGAATGAAAAATTACTATATGCATAAAGTCCTATTGCACTTCTTACTGACCTTGCAATCTTAGTAGACACTCAAGTGCACACACTCACACAGCCCTCTTACTTTTGATCTTATGCTGTCAGCCGATGGTATAATTCAGTGGTAGAATGCTTTCTTGGCAGATGAGAGTTCCTGGGCAGATGTGGTTCCTCAGCACCACAAGAGAAAGAACAGCCAATGAAGTAGAATACTGCAATATGTCTTATCATCGCTAGAGATGTGATTGTGACACAGGAAAGATCTGGCGTCTGTTGCAGCTCCCACATACCCACACACCCAGGAGCTACGGAAGCTTCCTTCCAGTCATACACCCTGGCTTGCAAGACGGCTTTCAGAACCATCTTTGCGGTCCTAGGAACATGTTTGCAGAAATCTGAGTTGACGGGCTGATTCAATATAAACAGTAACTTGGATTGGGGAAAATTCCGCAGCATTTGAAACAGCAGACATGCAATAATATAGGCATTTAATTAGCCCTTAATTGGAGATGCCAAAACACAATAGTCTGTGAAAATTGTTCATTGTGCAAATCCTCAGTGTGAAAGCTGTAGCTTATGGGGGCCAGAGCCATGCTCAAGCGGTGGCTTTGAATAATTCTCTCCATGGATGCCTTTAGTGTCCATCGGAGTTTCTATAGGAAAGGCATATTTTAAAACTCTGCTCTTTCCTTTTTCATTTTCCTGTGCACTGAAGATACCCACATTTCTCCCGGAAGGGTGTTAATTTCAGCTCAGGCAATAACTGTCCCTAGCATGTAAAAATATGAAAATGGAGATGCTTGTGTGAATCTTCTCTCATTCTCAAGAATTATGAGGTGGTACAAACAGGAAGGAGACAGAGCCACGTGACCCAAGAGAGCCAAGGGAGAGAAGAAAGGTTTTAATTCTTTTTTAAAATGTTTGTTTAGGAGTGTATGTGTGTGTTGCACATGGGCAGTCAGAGGACAACGTGAAGAAACTGGCCTAATCCTTCCAGTATGTGCGTCCTGGGAACTGAACTCAGGTTATCGGGCTGAGTCTCGAGTGTCTTTACCCACTGAGCCTGAAAGACCCACAGAGCGCGTGGATCCTCATGCCCCGACTCAGGGCGTCCCCCCCAAATCACTCACGAGAAGCGGTCTTGATGCAAAAACATGAGGTCTTTTATATTCCAGTGCACTGGGGTCTGCAACCATACTCCACGTGGGGTAGAGGACTGGGAACCCTGGGTACAGGATTAAGACAGCCTTTATAGGGTTGCAACAAAGCCCGCGCATCACAAACCAATCATCTCATAGCATCCAGTGCGGACCAATCAATTTGAACTATCCAAGCCCATGCTTAGCCCAGGAAGTCTGCTTTTGCGAGGGCTTCTGGGTGGGGTGACAAGGCTCATTGCCTGAGTTTACTCACTCACAGGTGCTCAACAGCCCTGTTGTAAACAGTCAAGAATGTGACCTTTTGCCTACTCACTGCTAGGGGACAGGGTCTGGGATTTAAACGTCTAGCTTCCTGGGGTCAGTGGAAGTTAGGCTAAATTTTTCCATCCTTACATTCCCCACTTCTTCTCTTGTTAATAGTTCTAATCTTAGAATTGGGAGGACTAAAAGCAGCCTCCTCCTTGCCCGGGAGGCTCTTGTACCGTTGTCTAGGTACCATAATCTGGACCACACTCACTGGCTCCCAAACAAAAGTAATGATTCTATTACTTATACAAGGTCCATTAGTTAGCAGCAACAGCAAAATCATTGAGGGTCCCATCAGGGCAGGAAGTGGGGTGGTCATCCAAGGGGACTTGTTGAACCACCCCTCAGACGAAAGGGCAGCACAGAGGCCTCCCTGCTGTGAAAATAACAGATCTAACCCCCTACGGGTCTGGGGCGGGTGGCTTCTGCCAGGGAGCTCAATGAGTCCTGCAGATGGGTGATGGAACCCGCTTCAAGTTTGAGTCTAGACTTGTTCGCAGGCTGGAGTAGGCCTGCTGCTGTTCTGTGAGAGCTGTACCTACCCCTGCAGCAATTCCGGCTCCCAAGGGGAGAATAAGAGTCAGTGTGGTTAGTGGTTCCCTCTTCTGTTGGATCCACCTGCCTCCGTAAACTGAATGGAGTCACCTGGTTGAAGAAGCAGGGCCCATACGATAAAGCTTGAGTTTAAGGGGATTCTCAGTCTGTTCGGCTCTCCATTCAGGATGGGGGGGGGGGTGGCGCTGGTTTGACATGGGAGGCATGGATCCAGGTGGGGATTCCTTCGACCTTCACTGCCGTTGGCGTGGTCAGAAGCACAAGATATGGGCCTTTCCACGGAGTCTCAAGGTTTCCTGCGTGGTGCCGTCTTACGTACACCGAATCTCCAACCTGGAAGCGATAAATTTTCCATCCTTACAAGCCACCCTGCCAACCCTGGAACAGCTCAACTGTGGTAATGGCTAAGCTGAGTTTACCTGGATTTGGAGGCTGTAAGACAAGAACTCGGGTAAGGCAGGAAGTGAAAATCATTCTGTTGTAAGGATTTGTGGGAAGTGGGTGGAAATTCAGAGACAAATGGATCTTAGAGGGCACAGTGGTCTGCAGCACAGAGACAACGCAGGCAGGCAGTCGTTTATTTATGCAATTCTTAGTGACAGGATTATACATATTCCAGGCTTGCTTCAAAGCCCCTTTGCACCCAGAGGTGACCTTGAACTTCCGACCTCCTGTCCCCTGTTTTTCACTTCCAGGATTACAGATTAGCGCTGCAGCCAGGTTACCCAGTGCTGGCCATCAAACCCAGGGCTTCACATGCTCAAGGCAAGCGCTCTTCCGACTGAGCCTCACTCCAGCCACAAAGAGGAGGCTCTTTAAGCAGAATGGGGAGGAGCCCGTGGCTTCCTTTTAGTTACAGTGTCTTAGTCTCGCTAGTGCTGGCATTGATGTAAAAATTCAGAAATGAGCAAGGCAAGAAGGGCTTTGCATACTGAATTACAAAATGAAGGGTGTAAAAAAAAAAAAAATCTAGGAAACCAAATGAAGGAGGAATGGAAAATATTTAAATACAATTTAAAAATCTTAAAGGGGTATTTTTTATTTATTTTGTTTTATTCTTCTCTCATATATTACATTCCTGTCAAAGTTTCCCTTTCCTCCCTTCTCCCCTTCCCCTCCATCCCTCCTCTTCCCCAGATGCATCCTCCCTCTGTCTCACCTTAGGAAGAAGCCGGCCTCTCAGGGGCATCAACCAAAAATAACCCAACTAGCTACAATAAGAGCAGTGTGCACTACAACAAGGCTGGACAAGGCAGCCCTTGGGGTTGTTCCCATAAGTAGGCAAGAGTCAGAGACTGCCCTGACACCCACTGTTACTAATCCCACAAGAACAGCAAGCTGCTCAGCCATAACATATATACAGGGGACTAGGTCCGACCGGTACAGCTTCCCTGATCTCTGAGTCCCCATGAGTCCTGCTCAGTTGATTCTGTGGGTCATGTTCTCACGGTCCCTGACCCCTCTGGTTCCCCCAAGTCCCCCCCCCCACTCCCTGAGCTCCACCTGACGTTTGGCTGTGAGACAGATGCCTCATCTGGTCCCATCAGTTGCCCTATGAAGTCTCGATGGTTTCTTTGGTGAGGATTCTGGTAGACGCCAGTCCCAGAACACGCTGCAGATGGACAAACTGTAGGTCGAAGGTTTTGTGACTGGTGTTCCAACCCCTGAAGCCTTGCCTAGTTACAGAAGGTGACTGGTTCAGGCTCTGTGTGCCCCATTACTCGGAGTCTTTGCTAGGGTTACTTTCGCATTTTCCATGGAGTTTCCATTGCTCTAGGTTTCCACCTCGACCCTGAAATGCCCCCCAATTCCAGTGGTTTCTCCCATTATCTTCTCCCTCAGCTGATCCCTCCTATTCCCAACCTGACCAGCCCCCATCCCAGGGAGACCTGAGAATCCCCCTAAGCCCCTTGTCACTTAGTCTCTCTGGGTGTGTGGATTGAAGCACTGTTACTCTGTACTTAACAGCTAATATCCACGTATACGTGAGCCCATTTGTCTTTCTGGATCTGGGTCACCTCACTCAGAAAACATGGAATGCCTCATGAATTTGCGTGTCATTGTAGAGCAAGGGCGGTGCCAATCGCTGTATCGTTCCAATTTTAGTATAAGTACTGCCGAAGTGAACTCTGCTTTATTTCATTTTTAGATAGGGTCTCCTGTAGTCCAGGCTGGCTTTAGTCTGTCTTTGCAGCTGAGGCTGAATTAGAACCCTTGATCCCCCTGCCTCCATCTTCCAGGTGATTACATGTGTCTATCACCCTGACGAGCTTAGCGAAGGGTACTTTTAAAAGTGAAGCAGAAAATGACAAGTGAAGAAACAAAAACCGTAGTTAAGGAAAGGGCAGGGCTGGGCGTGGCGGTAACACTGGTGCGTGGAGGTAGGGACACGAGGGTCAGGAGCTCTGGCAATTTCTGCTATGTAGCAAGTCCAAGGCCAGACTGTCCAGTCTGTGACACTATCTCAAAATAGCAAAAGCCCAACAAATAACCAAAATGAAAAAGGAGTCTTTGGAGAGGAAAACCGTAAGAGTATCAGTAACATGAAGGCGGGGTTTAACCGAGTCCACCAGACCCAAGATAAATGACAAATAGGTGTTTATTAGGGAAGGGCTCACACAGATCAGAGTAAATAACTGCCAGGTCTTCCTGCTCCAGAAGATGCAGTCTCTGCCCTTCCCATGCTCCCCACAGCCCAGGAGAGCATGAGCCAGCCCCTCCTCTACCTTATAATGGGTCGGTCTGCACCTGAAACCACGCCCAAAGGGTGTGGCCAGCACCACAAGTTCACTGACAAGGGAAGATGCCACTATGGTAACATATTGAGACTTAATAATTTCCAGGCCTGGGGCAGGTGGTTTAGTTGCCTTGCAGTGTACAAAAGCCTGGATTCAGCCCCCCCCCAAGAACCCACATAAAAATGACAGGCATGGTGATATTATAAACCCAGCACTGGGGACAGGAAGACAGAACATTCCCCGGGCTCGCTGGCCTGGAAGCCTGGCTGAATCTTTGAGCTCCAGCCACCAAGAGACCCATCTCAAATGAGACATGATGAGGTTTCTGAAGAATATCTGAGGTTGTCCTACACACACACACACACACACACACACACACACACACACACTCACTCACTCACCAACCAGAAGGCAACAGACATCTCCCTCTCTCTCTCTTGGTAGGTCTCTCTCCAAAGAGTAATGGTAGAGGGTCCAATGCTTGTCCTTGTGTGTGGTAGGCCCTGGCCATGCAGCCCACACTTGCCTTGAACTCATGACCCTCCCTCCTAAATCCCCTTAGTGGTGGAATTATCGGTCAGTCTAAACCAAGTCGCCTAGCTCAAGACTCCATATTTCTTGACTCTGAGTCTCAGGGCCAAGGACAGAACACAGAAGAATCATTTTGCACGTGGCCACAGTTCAAGCTCGGCAACCTAGAAGGAGGCTTCTAGGCCAGCAGGGGCCGCTGTGGCACCACCACATGGACCCAGACAGATTTCAGGGCATTAACTATTGGCAGGAATGGAGGGCTGCAGGCGAGGGGCCTGATGTTAAGAACAACTACCCCGGGGAAGGACTGGTTAGACCCTACAAAGGTCAGGGCTCGTTAATAACCACAATTTGTATGCATCAAGAAAAATGAAATCCATACTTGCAGGAAAATCGATGTAACCAGAAATCCTCATGTCAAGCAAGAATAAGCCAGACTCAGTAAGAACACGTGTTTTCTCAGGCACAGGAGCAAGATTTAAAATTGCATGTGTGTATGCGCATATATGTATATGCATTCATATGTTTGTTTGCGGGTCATAAAACTAGACAGGGGAGCAGGAACAGGGAGGCAGATGATAAGGGAGTGTGGGAACTGGACGAAGAGATGGCGGAGAGCCATGTAAGTAGAAAGCAGAAGCTTGGAGAAGTCTAGGGAAGGACTAGAACTGACGGAGGAGAGAGGGGGAGATGAGAACAAATCATGGCGTGCACGAGTGAAGACGCCACGTGAACCTCTTATTTTGTATGCTCACCCAAACAATGACAATCACCTCAGACACTGGCAAGTTTGGTGATGGGTTTTGACTGGAAGCAGCCTGCCTGAGGCAGAGGCAAGCCTCCTTTGGGAGCAGCCCCCTTCTGCAACGATAGCGTAGCCTGGGAATCCAGGGATACCATTTGCATGAGAGTGGATGAGGATCTGATATTACAGATGGTGCTGCCCCATGTAGTGGTACCCCAAGCTCATCACAGACTTCCTTCTAGAACCTTCCAGAACACTTCTGAAAGCAATTAAGGGAAAGAGTTTTCATTTTCCAATTTCATTTTGCAGTGATATTTTAGTGCCATACCCCCTAAGGCATTGTTGAAGGAGAGGCCTCGGCAGGGTCTTGGGGATTATTTCCTGGGGTGTCAGGCCGCTGGGTCTCTGAGCCTCTGTGTTATAAATGCTGGGTGACGGTGTGAGGGGAGGGTGGACATACCTCTCTGCCCTCGGTGTTAGCTGCCCTGCCTGCTCACCTGGTACAGCCATAAAGCTGAATCTTAATTTTCAACTGGATTGGGTTAAGTTCCAAAATTAGTTAGCCCACCCAGGTCTGTGATGATGGTTCCAGAAAGAGTTGGGAAAGAAGGTAGGATCCACACTGAATAGTAGCAGCAACTCTCGCAAAGGCTGCGGGCTCAGGAGGAATAAACGTCGTAAAGTTCCAGAGTGCAGGCATTCATTCTCTCCCACGCCCTGTAATCCAGGTCGACTATGCGTGGTCTGCTCTGTTCAGCCCATGATGCCACAATGGACTATAACCTCTAAAACAATGAGCCCCGACAAACTTCCTCCTTTAAGTTGTGTTTTGTCCCAGTGAAAGGACTAACAGACCCCCCCAACAGCAGAAGGATAGCAAGTCCCACTGGGGGGGGGGACTCGGGGCTTCCCCTGCGGCTCCTGTGTGTTCTCTAGTCTCCAGGCATGTCTTTGCACTGGCTGTCTCTGCTCTGTGAACAACACGTCACTGAAGACATCTGAACACTTATATGATTGTCTTTTCTTCAGTGCTAGGGTTTAAATCCAGGCCTCACATGTGCCAGGCAAGGGTTCCAAGGGCCACCTGCCCAGTCACATGACCGTGTTGGGTTGTGGTTTTAATTTTCCTCCCAACGGAAAGCAGGCACTTCTTCCAGAATAGGAGAGGTTGCTGTGTCTCTTCAGGCAGCCCCGCTTTGCTGTGAGGAGTGAAATGTCAAAGAAATACTCAATTCTTTACACCTGTTTCCTTTGCCGGTGAGACGTTAAGGCTTAATTGGTGCAGGTCTTTAATCCCAGAACTCCGGAGGCAGAGGCAGGTGGGTCTCTGTGAGTTCCGGGCCAGCCTGGTCTACAGAGGGAGTTCCAGGGCTACACAGGGAAACCATCCAATCCGACAGGGGACTATGATTAAGGTAGGCAGGTGGAGAACCGTCCAGAGAGGACAGAATGTGTCAAGAGGCAAAGGACAAAGGGGTTGATTCCAAGGGTGGAGGCCAGGGCCTTGGACCCTGAGGACCAGGCTGTGTCATCTGCTAAGGAGCTGTTGACCAAATCCTAGCAGTGATGTACTTCACACTCATGGCGACAGGACACGCCACACCTTGTTAGTCACGGTTTCCCCCACCATCCCCCACACCCCCTTCAACCCTCCTTTTGTGATCCTGGAGACTGAAACCACAGCTCTTGACTTGCCGGACCAGCACTCGACAACGAAGCCGTTTTCACAATCCGTAACCCAGCATTTCTTTCTTAGATATTTAGTGAAGAGGAAGAAAAACATTAGTCCACAAAAACTCCTATTACAGGGCTTGTGGCTTCCATTTGAGGCACCTACGGCTCCCAAGCAGCAGGGGGCGATGTTCGCTTGTGGGCTTGGGCGGAACTGCGAAGGGAGTCGAGACCCCAGCCTCTAAAAAAAATTAATGACAGTAGTCCGATTGCAGTTATGAAGTAGCAATAATATTCTGACTGGGTCACTACAGCATCGGGAACTGTATTACTGGGTCTCAGCATTAGGAAGGTTGCGAGCCACTGCCCTCCGTCATTACCCTTGACAGGAAGGCTGTTGGCTCTAAGCAGACCACTGTTGTGGTTATCACTCATTCTCAGTTTGACAGAGTGTGGAAGAGGTTTCCAGAGAGCGTTAGCTGGCGGGAAATATCTGCGCCCGTAGTGGGTGGTATCTCCCAACTGGTGGCCCAGACACACAAGGTCAGAGGAAAAGCTGTGTCACCTGCCTGCGATCGATCGCTTCTAAGTGTCTACTGCTGCTGATGTTGAAGAGACCAGTGCTGGCCTCCTCTATGATCAAGCCCCTGCTTCTTGGATTTCCAACAGGGACAGAACAACAGCTCTCTATAAATTGTCCAGCCTTCGACAGCAGAGTGAGGGTGGTCATGGACTGACCAGCTAGCCGTGTGCAAACCGCCACCGCTGGACACCCTAGCCCTTAACAGGCAAGCCAATCTAATAAACCCTCTGTAGAAATATACATTTTTATTGGTCTTGTTTCACTAGAGCATCCCGCCTAATTAATTCACCTACCATCAAAGACTGCCAACCAACTGCCTTCTGCCTTCTAAATGGATTGTAGAGTACCAGTTTTAGTCTGAGGAAACACACACACACACACCTACCTGCTTTACTTTCTCAGTAACAATTTCACACTCTGGTAGCTATTAATCTCATTAATAGATGACTGCTCATTTTTTTTCCTATTAGAGTTTGTCCTACTAAGTTTGTGTGTGTGTGTGTGTATTTTATTTACTGGGCATCCTTTTAAATTCCTATCTTGGGCTGGAGAGATGGCTCAGTGGATAAGAGCACTGGCTGCTCTCCTAGAGGCCCTGAGTTCTATTCCCAGCACCCACATGGCGGCTCACAGCTGTCTGTAAATCCAGTCCCAGAGGTCCTGGAGCCCTGGTACAGACACACATGCAAGCAAAACATCAGTGCACACAAAAAGAAAGAAACCCCACTCAACTGCAATAGAGGATAACTGCACATTCCCTACTTCATGTTGACAGTTTTGAAAATACCATGCTTTGTATGCATGGGTTTTTTTTGGCCTGTGTATGTATGTGTGGCATGCACGCATGTTAGCACGTGTGT